TCTTGCGCATCCGCCTCCTCAATTGCCATCAAACGTCGTGCCATCTCCAAATTGGCCTCCGCTTTTTGCCGTTTCACGGAGGAGGACGATCTCATCGATGAGGCGAGTGAGGCAGGGGATGCTGGCAACTCCAGCTCAGCAGCCTGCTCGGCGACATCGGCCATATCCGTTTCGCCCTTACCTCTACGATTTCGCAGCAACATTGCTGTGTTTCTGTAATCTGAAGACTGTATATTTCTTTAGAACTGCTCATCCGGCTCGAAGGACCATGTTGCGGCCCTGTGGCCATGGTAGACAAGATTTCCTTCGAACCATTACTTGTTCTTGTTCTTCACAAAAGTGGAATAAAACTGAATCTCAAAGAGTTCTGAAAAGCAAAGCGCGACACGCGTACATGTAGCCTCAAGCAGAAAAGCTGGCCGCGCAAAAGGAAACATGCAGCCAAAAAGATGCCTAGCTCTGGCGTACATCGTAGAGGTCACTGCGCATCCGGTGCACTGCGCCCCAAAGGTGCAGGCACGGCGCCCCAAGGAGTGACGGCATCCATAAACTGCATCGCGTCATGCAGATAGAGCGATAGCGTACAAAGTACAAACAAAACAAAAGTAACTGAGCATGAGAGAAGCGAAAATAAATAAATCGAAGAGAAGAAGCGAGAGAGAAGAGAGAAGGAATTTAATTCTAATTATTTTAGAGCTGGACAGATATTGTCAAGGAGACATGCAGATACACAATAGAATCGACTCGACTGCATGTAGAGTAGCTGCCTCTAACTGCAGCAGAGTGGAGCACGCAGGTACGTGATCAACTCGGGAATAGTGAAAGGTGAGAGAAACAAAATACAAATAAATTAGAACGAGCAAATACAATAATTGTGAATTCATGTGCAAGTGTCTGTAACAGTTCTTACCACGTCAACCTGGATAGTGGCGGCGGAAATGACGACCCTCGACACCGTGGCTCAAGCACAGGAGCGACATCGAGATTTCCAGAGCGATCACAACAGAGATACTTGCTGCAACTGAATCCGCTCTAGTCGCGCTTTCGTCTCAAAACAGGGACAATTCCTCTCCAGAAAAAACTGAGATCTCTGAATCAGAGGAGAGTGATTCAGCCTAACTGATGTCTCTAAATTTGATAGCTTGCATAGACCTCGGTCCTACCGGTAGGACCTACCGGTAGGACCATCATACACAGACATGCTGCATGGCCTCTGTTCTAACATTGACCTAAAACTTGACCCTAAACTGTTGCTAAGGAGCTTATGAAGGAGTCCACAAATTTTAGACGTGATCGCACAAGGCATACTACGAAATTCCATGGTAACAACCCATGGTAACCATGGAAACGGAGTATGGAATTATGCATTCCACAGCCTTGGCAAGCTGATAAAAATATTAGGACCTCACCACAATTGGCCCAGAATCTGCGAAAACCAGGCTTAGGGGTCGTCCGTATTTTTCGAAAAATTAAAAAATCCGTCCTCAGGCAGAAAGGGGGTGGGTGGTCAAGAGCGCTGGCGGAATTTATTTTTTTATTTTTCGTACCTTTTTTTGTTTTTTTTTGTTTTGTCAGTGACTCGTAGTGCACTGTAGACGTAGTGCAGGATCGCAAACACCCGTATGATATACCGGTACATGACTTTTTTTGTGGTTGTAGGATGTGCATGGCCTTCGGTAGGCCTCCTACTCACTTTACTTAGCTACTACAGTACTAGTACTTGACATGTAGGTGCAATCAGTGAACATGGGGTCAGGAGTTCTTATTTTCGAGCTGGACATTGGTAAAAATCAAAAAATTATGGGAAAAAATGGGGGGTGGGTGGGTGGGTCAGAGACAATTTTGCACGAGGACGGATTTTTTAATTTTTCGATAATTACGGACGACCCCTTAGGGTGAAAATCATTTTTTTGAGAAAATTGATGTTTTGTAAAAAGGTTGTGTCGCGTGGACGATCGAGTGCAGTGAAGTGGAACCAAAGAGAATCTCGCTTGTTTGAAGAAGTAGCAGTCATGGCAGGAAGGGTTTCAGCAGTCAGGGAAGTCAAAGGGCTTCAGGTAGAATATTCTCTGCTACTCCTCTAGTCACAACGAAGAGTTTTTGAACTGATCGAACGGATTCCATCTCCTACACTCAGGGATGGCGAAATTTCTGCGCTAGCTGCTGCTTGCGGAAAATGGTGAAGAAATCGTCTCCAGTTAGAGTCGTGATGGCGATAGCGAGGAGAACCTGGACGACATCGATCCAGCCAATCGAAGTACGGAGATACTAGCTGTTTCTGGGCCTCACGCAAAAGGAACACGCGCCGCAGAGCTCATACGTTTGCAGCAAGTTCACGAGGAAAAAGGCTTGAAGCACAGTGTGAAAACTGTTTTGAATTGAAGTCCTTGGCGATGAAGTGCTACTGAAGGCCAGATGAATGAACGAGCAGATCGAGAGGCCCCACTCGAGACTTTCCTCGCTGGACAGCTACCTGCAAGGGATTGTACAGCGTGCCGATATTTCACTTGCTGGTCAGCACCAAGCAGATACTGCGGCACGCCAGCACACTATGCGCTTACTATGAACAGTGGAACAGTTTGAAAGGCTGTGTTCTTGCTTGTTTCTGAACAGTTGTACTAGATTCACCCTTCAAAAGGTGCCATCTCAACTGGAGTCGGGTTTCCTTGTGGTGTGTAGCGCCAGAGCATGCAAGCACATGTATTCAGCCCCAGAATGTGCTGAGTGAGGAGCAAACAAAATTCATGCAGAACTGTGCATGGCCACTACACAGTCTACAGCCTGCAACACCAAGGGCCACAACAAGCCTGCCCCCACATGCCTACCTTGTCATGTCACCTAAAAAAAAATCATCCATGTCTCTTCCTTCAGTCTGGTGCATCTCTCTTCATTTCTTTCCTGTGATAACAAATTTGTGTTTTTTTGGGATTTTTTTAACACAATACCCTGGTGTGTTTGAGATACTTTCAATTAGGGCTCAAACGGTCACGGTTTTATCCCTAACGGTTAACTGCTAAGCTAACGGTCGGTTTAACGGTTATAACCCATAAGCCACGGCAATCCTGCGGACTCTTTTTTAACCGTATATTTGACTATATTCATTCAAAAAATGTACCCTATTCAGTACAACGCACACATGTACATTCTGTTGCATGCTCATTCATACATACTCTCACACCAAGAGACCAGATACGACCGAGTTGACAGCCCAGAAATTGCGTACGCGTGCGACAGCCTGCGAAAGTGCATACGAGTCGTACTTTGCAACGACCTGATACTTCAAAATTGACTGAAAAGTTACTGCGTAACCGTTATCTTTATCGGTTGACCGTTAATTCTTCGTAACCGGTCTGCAACCGGTTAATCGGACTAACCGTTTGAGCCCTACTTTTAATACCACTATGAGTCGACCCACACCTGTAATATTTTGTTTCCTGACCTCTCATGCCCAATAGAAGCTGAACATGGGAAAAAGTCATTTTGTGAAATTTCACCCTAAGCCTGGTTTTCGCAGATTCTGGGCCAGGATGTGCCATGGTCAAAATTCACTTTGGACAGAGTTGCTAGCGCACCGACAGGATTATGTGCAGCCATTTTGGCAATCGATAAAATTGCGCATACGGAATGCACTGGACATAGCCTTGCAATTTGCGCCATTACTTTGCCTGACAAAGACCTCATCTCAACAATTGTTTCAAAAAATTTCTCAACCAAAAGCACTTTTGCAGCTCGATTTCTTGGGTCCTGCCGGTAGGACCCGTGGTCCTACCGGTAGGACGGTATGCAAGCTATCAAGTCTAATGTCCTTGTTGAGCAATACAAAGTTGTATTTTGGTGAGTCAATCATTAGTCTTGATTGTAAAGTGTGAGTTATTTCGAGTAATTTGAAGTAAAAAAACGCGCCAAGTTTCGCTTGTCGGAGGTAGTATCCTTATGAATACTGGGGCACTTAGCCCTGGCACTGAACACAATGGAATGTCCGATAGATGTAGTTCTACTTTAATCATGAGGTGGGACGTAGCTCTGCCGTAGTAACGAGGTCGGACGCACATATAGCTCTGCGTTATTCATATGGTCGGATGCAGGTTTACCGTATTCATGAGGTTGCACGTAGCTCAGCTTTATTTACAAGGTCGGATGCAGCTCGGCTTTATTCGAGAGGTCGAACGCAGCTCTGCGCTATTCACAAGGTTGGCCGGAACTGTGCATTTTCACGGGGCTGGCGACCGCTCTGCATTATCAAGAGTACATAAACCAGAGTGTGCAACTGTGCATATCAGATCGGAAACAGCGCAGTTCGTGCACTACGTCACTCTGGTGAGGTCAGCCAAGCCGCGACTTGCGTACAGCTCAAATTTTCGTGTTTCACAGGCCGGAAATCAACCAAGTTTACATGATTTTAGTCGTCTTGTTTTAGGATTTCGGTGTTTTTGTGTGACTGCGTATGCTGCGTACATCCGCTGACAAGTAAATTCACCAGGCTATCCGTTTCAAAAAACCGAAATCAGGACAAACTCAGTGACCTGCACCACCGTGACTGGTTACGCAACCTTTCACTGTACCTGTGGCTTACCATGCCGTCAGAAATGACGTAGTGCACGAATTACGCTCCCACAGGAACCATCCCGAGTTGCACACTCTGGTTTATGTACTCTTGACATTATTCATAAGGGTTGATGCATGCAGCTCTGCTATAAGTGTGAGGTCAGAGTACGCAGGAGCATTGTCCAAAGGGCAGCACGACTTTGTGCAGGTTGTCAAAATCTCAGCACACTGCATTTTTCCTCAGTCACAATGAGTTTCTTGAAGTCTTCGCAACAACAAAAGCGCCTACAATAATCACAACTGCAACAACTCGCTCTTACCACACGCAAGCCATTCATATGAGCACCATTGCTGCCCAATCCGACCACGCCACTGTGTTGCGTCACCTTTATCGCCGGTTGTTGTGTTCATTGCGATTTCTGTATGCTTGCTTATGCTGCTGTTGACTTTCTCAGATATGTCCAGTAAGAATATGATCAATCTGAAGCAGGCACACAGTCACAACATATTCATTTCTAAAGGCTCGGATTTCTAATCCACGGCATGCAGTTGCACCAGCAGGCATGACCGACAGCCATCTATCTAGCCAACCAGCCGCTCGCTCATCAACTGCTACCGCTGTGTACCCCTCTTTCCTTACAGTGGGTTATATTTAATCCACTAGCCATGCACGCATCCGCACTCTTCCTAATAAACCCAGGCACTATATTCCAGCCGCAAATACCATAGATTTATAGAGTATTTACTTGCAGTAGCAATACTTCCATTTACAGAGTATTTACTAGCAGCAGTGATAGTTCCTTAACTCCACCTGTTCCGTATTTAGACAGAGAGAACTCCAAGTATAGATATGGTATTTCTAGTAGTCCAATTTAGTACTCATACCCAGAGAAAAATCACTTCAAATAAACAGAGAACAAAAACATTAGTTCAAGCCCACGGGTCTTAGAGAGCGGCTCCATAGATATTCCAAGTGATTCCCAATGCATCCATGTCAAGCTACCTTGGCTATTTATCTTTACACACCCAACTATTTATTTAGACAGTCTTCTTCTTGCACACTAGTATTAAAAATTTCTTTGAATGAAATTGTCATGGTCGGGTCATGAGAAAGACAGCAATCCGCAGATAGTAACTGACATGTATTTAGTAGCAAATCCAAAGCATAGAAAGTTGTCCGTAAAAGCTTCTCTAAGGTATCAGAATGGAAAGCCAATGATGTGCTTTTCATAGTTCTCCTTTTCCACTTTTCACACGTTCTTCAGTTGAGCTAAGTTTAACGAACTCTTTGTTTCGCTACAATGGTTTATTCCGACGGAAATCTCTTTCACACAATGATTATAATGTTCATACAATTACATTTTGTAGTCTGTTAATTATCAAACATTTCTGGTAGCTGAGTCTAAAGTTCTTATGTTGGAATTTGCACTGTGCATGTGCCGGATGATGCTCTTTTCAAATAGCCGTTTGCAGTATCAGTTGATGGCAGAATAAAGCTGAAGAACATGTCAAAACTGATTGTGCGCGCGTGTGTGTGTGTGTGTGTGAGAGAGAGAGAGAGAGAGAGAGGGAGAAAGAGAGAGTGCACGTGTATGCGCCCTTGTGCCAGAAACGCACTACTAGTCTGGTATTGCCCGCAGGAAGCGTGATGTAAGAGTGGGTTAACATGAACCAGATCAGCCCTAGGAAGCCAGCTCCCGGTAAGCCCCAAAGCCAGTGCAGTGGAGCCTTAGCAAGCTTTGGTCTAGATAGGACCACTATCGCAGGCACGGTACAAGTAAGCTAGCTCTCTACAATGTAGGGCTGGTGACTTGAACTTTCATCTTCTATCTGTACATTGAATGAAAATGGATGAAAACCGGGGGATAACCCCCCCCCCCCCCCGGATTATATTTTGTTGCATAGCCCTGCTAGTCACTGCGCCATGTGATTAACCTTTTTTTGAGTTAAGTATTCATACAAACGATACTCCCTGTCCAGAGGCAAGGTTTCAAAATTAAGCTGGGGTGCACATGTGAGAGCACGGTGTGTACGGTAGGTGTGAATAAACGTACTATCACACACGTACACGGAGCACAGTACATACGTAAATAACATACACAATCATGATTATAATTATAGCGGTAATGATGCCCCCCTCTCTCTCCTCTTATTTACGCACACACAAGAGCACACGCGCGCGTACCCACACACTACTAACGCTGGACTTTGGAATGGCGCATTTCAGATGAATGGCAATGAGAAAATCCACCTGATCAGCAATTCGTGAAGTACGCACAGGGCTCCGAGGCAATCTGCATTAGGACACAACAAAGCCATTATAATGGTAAAATATATAATTCTTTTCCATGGAAAAATGGAAAACAAACGTTGACGAAAGCAGTCCATATGGCTAAGTCTAGTCTGAGATTGGCCTCAATCACGCAGTCTAGAAACATTGTAACAACATGTAGTCCTAGTAGTAGTATATACCTGGATGGCATGGAGAGTGCGTTACATTGAAAATGAATACTCTGGTGGAGTATGAGCAATAAAAAAATACTTGAAGTACTAGCAGTCAGTCGTCTTCAAATCAGGAAGTAAGAAAGGCGTTTCGCAAAACACACAATGGGAATACTGTCAGGCAGCCAAACCATTACCTAGTTGTGGCTGAGCCCAGACAGCAACACAAGAACAGCGGCAACAGCGACAGAGAGTGACGGTGACAACATGAACAGCAGCAGGGACAAGGCAAGCAGGATACATGGCGGGGGGGGGGGGGGGGTTAGAGATAGAATTAAAAATAGGAGACAACAGTAGGTTGGCTAGCTGCAGTGAGGAGGGCGGTTTGAAAGAGTTGTACCTCTAACACTTCAAACGACGCACTGTATCTTTCGCAGCACAACCTGACCAGTTTTCAGTATGAAACATGACATTTGTGCACACCCACACACGCGCACACGCGTGCAGACACACACGCAGACATACGCGTACACAGGCAAATTCCCGCCATCACCTGTCAGACCACTCTAGTTTGGAATCGCATTTTCTTCCAATTCGCTCGACGAGGGATGGAACACATCTGATGAGTGAGAGACCAGCCTGGTATGTTGAAAGTCGGATGAAACTTTCTCGGCGTCACATGACTTGTTAGAAGCGGGAGATCCTGGTCTGGATGCAGGTGATGATGGGCCCTCTGGCACTGGCTCAGTTGCAACTTGTTGCTCTGCAGTGGAACTGGTTTTAGAGGTGATCGATGCACGGCATGGAGAACCAGCAGCTGGTGACGACGACCTACCAGGCTGTACCGATTGCTTCGGCGCGGATGCACTGGAGTCGGTGGAACCGGTGGATACCTGGTCTTGATTACTCTTGACTGGCGATGAAGAGTCGCCATCAGGCGCTGCTGCTGCTGCTTGCCTTGAATACTCTGTTATCGTTGAACCAGACTCAGGCAAAACACTGCTCGCTGAACTGCTACCCCAGACTGAGGAGTGGCTCGTCGGCATGTCCTCCAGCAGCTTCTGCCACATTTCAGACTCGCTCTCAGCATCCTGGAGCAGCCGTCCGTACTGCACAACTGCCTGGTAGATGAACTTGTACTGTGCCAGAGTCTGCACACTCTGAGCACGCTGAGTTCGCAGGAAACACACCGTGCCCGCCACGTCTGCCATGCCCTGCATGATGGCAATGCAGCAGATATCTGCGGCAACGAACGCCGCCGATCTGCCCACCCCGGTGCAGCAGTGAACCAGGATTGGCGGATAGATGGCCGTCTTGTTGCCCTCCTCTAACTTGGATCGCTTCTCGTCCATTGGCGCTGCCTCCAACTCGGACGCGTCAGGCAAACTCCTGAAAGGCATCCGTGAGGTTGGTACCTCCATGCAGTTCGGGCCTGCACTCATGGTGGGGCCGACGGCGGCAATTGCTTCCCGTGACCTATTCGGTGTCATGGTTGGGTCGATAACATCGTTCTTGTGATGCATGTCAAGCATGACTTGTAGCATAGGCATGCTGTTCTTCACAGGGCCGCGGTCACTCCACGACGTCAGCTGATAGTGCGTGATGTTTCGCGTCGAGCTCGAATTGCCACGGCGTATTGAGATGATGCGACGTGTCCAGTCCTGGAACTGCTGCACTTCGGCGAGGCGCAGACTGAAATCGGCAATGCGTACTATACTGTTTGCCTCCGGCCAATAGCAGAAGCACTTTGTCAGCGAGTTCTCCACCAGGTTGGCAGCCATGACGATCACGCGCAGCTTCTGCTCCCAGACCATGCGCCAGAAGTCGCCAAATGTCGACTCCATCGGTGCCTGCGTGAGAATGTACGTCTTTGGCTGGTGCAATCCGCACACATAGTTAGCATGTATGTAGTCCGAGCCTGCGGCGTACTCACCGTTGGGCAGGTACATGGGATTCAGCTTGATGCGTGTGTCCTCCATGCAGAATATGTCCGCCGAGCGATTCTTGGCCGAGTTGCAGTCCTGATGCGTGGACATGAAGCGACCGTGCAGCGGTGCTGCCTGGATCTCGCTGTACTCCTCAAACAAGTCCCGGTACTCACGCGGGTCCATGAACGTCACAATGTCCTCGAGCGTCAGACCATTCATCAAGTGCATGGCACGCAAGTAGCCAACAGGGTCCAGGTTAGCATTGACCGCCGCTCCTCCTACCATGCGACTTTCCCCCACACCATCGGTTGTGGCTCGCCGATTGGCGCTCTCCGTGATGCAAGAGTCGACCAGCGATGCTGATCGAGGCTTCGTCAGCCGTGCGCTTGACAGCGGGCTACCAGCTCGCCGGAAGGCAGTGCGCCCAGCTGACATGAGGCCACGCCGCTCAAACGCCATGTGATTACCAGCGTACGGACGCGATCCCTTCATGTACATGTAATGGTTTATTGCACGGGTCAACCAATTACCATGATTTGGCAATCGTGTACCGCCCAGGGACACTGGCAGCGTCTTGCGTGGGAAATGGTCGAGCAGCTCCTGTACACGAACCATCTGCACACGCTCACGCATCTTGGCCTTCAGGAAGGGTGAAATCAGTCGGAACAAGCGTCTCATGTACCACGGTGCGTCAATGACGAAGATGTGCTTAATCCGGGCCGGGTACTGATCTTGTAGTAGGGACATGATTGTTTCCGCCATCTCTCGGTCGTTCTTGGTTGGCTTCATGCCACGCAAGTTCACCAGAATAGTAATGCCGCAAGCCACCGTGGCAAAGCTTCTCAGTGCTTCGTCGATGTTGAACAATAGTCCTTGGAGGAGAAGTCTCACGTCCGTTTGCTGACCGTGCAGTGCCCCGGTGAAAATGCCAATAGCTTCACCGTTCTCAGCACCCTCCAGAAACGTGAACTTGCCGGTGGCCAGTTCGGAGTAGAGCGGGTCTTCATTCGGTACTAACTTATCCATTTCATACTTGTGGCGGATCATCTTGTAACGCTGGTAAAGATCGAATGCACGCGATGGATTGAACTTCCTTGCCATTAGAAACTTAACAGCATACTCTCGCGTTGCATCACGATCGTTAAGGCGCCGAATTCTGGCAATATCTCCGCAAAATTCCTCAAGAACGTCCTCTTCTTCGGCGGTGAGAAAAGCCTCCGGGATTGTCATCATGTGGAGAAGTTCCTCTTCAACTTGTACTAGATCCATAGGCTCCATAGCAGCCTGATCCCTACGGGGACGCACAGGTCCAGCCACTTTTCCATCCGGTAAGATCAAAGTGGGATACTTCTTACTGCCGTAGGCATAATGAGTTCCTCCGGAGCTGCTCGCCATGATCGGCTCTCCCCAACAACTGTGCTCACGTGCTCAGAATTATGTGGAAAGTACACTGCATCCATCCATCACGAAAAACGTCCACACAGTTTTCCCAAGAAGAAACTACGAGCTATATATTTTATGGCCAGAACCACAAACACAAATTTCAACGAAATCACGAAGGCGTTCAGTGGTGGGCTATCTTCCCGACAAACGGGGTCTGGCATATAGCGTTGAGGCAGAGTAACAGATCTCAAAACTGATCACGGCTGGACGTCAGAATGAGGCTAGAACTTAGAAGTGTCATGTATCCGTCGAGGAAGCTCTACGCCGGTCGGTCAACCTCCTTCTCAAAACCAAAAACCAACATCCTCCGTTCTCGATCCTGGTCAAGGCGCTTGTGCACTGACTGTGCATTGATTGTGCTTGTTTTCTGTGCTTGTTTTCTGTGAAAACCACCGCGTGGCGGTATGCCATGTATACGCGCGTACGCGCTGGGGTCATTTTCGAGTCGATCTCCATACCAACGCTTCCGAAATTTGAAGCATTTGCCGTAGATCTTCCTCGCGCACCGGTCCGTACATCTGCCGCGTACCGGCGCATATGGAGCTACAACACACATGTAGCACAGTCATCACAGACACAGTACAGGTCATGTATTCTACCATGCATCTGTGCACAGTTTATGACCTTGCCAAGGTTCGATACGGTACGGTAGATCTGCGGTGGCTACACATTTTGTGCTTGCAGATACCATTGATACCGGGATACTGGATACCTTCACAAGATCTACAAAGAAACCACTGGAAACTGTGGTTGATCAACAATGCATCAGCATACGATCACGCCAGCCGTGTGGTGCCAGTAGATCTACGATCTACATGTACGTGTACATGTCAGTAGGATCGTGTGTAGCAACGTTGGAGCTCCACACCATCGACATTTTCGTGCCCATGTGTTTTCGAGATTTGCGTTGGGTGCAAGATTGTTATGTTTTTTCGTGTTGTTCCTTTTGCCCGGAAGGAGACGGATATTTGAAAAGTAACTTCTCATTGTTGATTTGGATGTGATGTTTGCGGTACTGCTGTCCCACATTATCTAGTAGGCTTTGTCGCGGAGAATCGTAGGAAGGGACATTTCTAAGTACGATTGAATCCCGTAGACCTGGCAGTGCAGTCGTGCTGTTCTAAAATAGCATTATCATTTTTTTAGTAGTTGGAATTGGCTTAGAAATAGCAGGTAGGGGTCTGGAAAGGCTTCGAAGATGTCAGACGCGGGCGAGGAGGAGCTGGACCCCAGAATAGAGGTAAGTGACTTGTGGTTGCGTGAAAGCAGTCGCAAAGGTTAACGAATGAAGTGCGGTGGACTTCGTCATGGGAGATGTTCAGTTTACACACTCCTTTGCAATCAATCAATGGTTGGTACTCAGTACTGACAACTGTATATGTACACAATGCGTACTTTATCAAGTATTTGTTCGCTCACATACTGTCAAAGTCGTAGTCACAAGTGGCTTCGATATCGGACCACCTAGCTATCCAACATCCATATGCTTACACTTCACAGAATACAACCCACCTTCGATAATTCAATAACATGACAGGGCAGATGTATTGTGCATCGTGCAGGGCCGCCTTCCTGTTCAGAGAATCGAAAGTGATGCTTGCATCCACACGCAAGATACCTTCCACAGCAGCTTGCGCCAATAACTGTTGATGGGCATGGGCTCCTGCCTATTTCGCAGACAGCACACCTACCGTACCAGTGGCGGATTTAGAGGGGGGCGAAGGGGGCACGTGCCCCCCCCCCTTCAGAAGCGCCGACCGACTTTTTTTTACTGATCTCGATCGAAACCGAGCTCGCGCGCACTTCCTGTGTAGATGACAAGGCGCAGTCGCTGTACTGCATGCACTGTACACATTCATGCACTGGTTCACCGGGTCCGTAGATCGATACGCGGTACGCGTGTACTGAACTTGTGAACTGTCAACTCTCGTCGCGTCGATCTGTATTCCGCGATCCGCGATCCGTGCGCACCTGAACTACGGTTTTGGTCTAGTACTGCACTGTACTCGTAGTACGAAAACAAAGACGGTACAAGTGCAAGTACACAGTCCAAAACTTCGCATGGCAATGCGTAGATTTTCCTGCCCTTGCCTTGAAAACTTCACTTGCCTTGGCGTTCCAGAACCTCGTTGTTGTTTTACAGCAGTTCGAAAATGAAGAGAAGGAAGCAACTTACCTTGTTTGATTCGCTGCCACCTGCGAAGGAAGCTAGGACAGCTGCTAGTGGATGTGCCGCTCGTGAGGATGTTGTAAATGTCGTAGAGTCCAGTCCCCCCACGGAGCAGATCGCAGCGTCGTCAGCCGAGGACATGGATTGTCAGAATGCAGTTGAACTGGAAGTGATGGAGGACGATGACAGTTCGAACCAACAAGTTATCACCGAGTCTCCAGTTGTCGGTGAGAGCAAGAGTACATAACCCCCCAGAGTGTGCAACTCCACTATGGGTGCTGTCCCGACAGAATTTCAAGTTGACGTCATTTTGATGATGCAATGCGCACAAGTGGTACACGGATTACCAGACGAATCCGGAACCTGTGGTTGACCGAAGCAGATCGATCCTGTACAAATTATTGCAAAGAAAAACGTGTGATGCGTTGACACCCGTACACATGTTGTAAATCACTGGTGCAAGGAGCATTGCGTCATAAATAATGACGTCAACTTGAAATTCTGTCGGGACAGCAGGGTATGTGGGAGTTGCACACTCTGGGGGGTTATGTACTCTTGGTGAGAGTGAGAGTCGTACTTTGCAACATCATAAAACAGGTCTTTTTCCGTTTGGTTGGTACAATTGCTGATTGTTATATTATACCAATAGTGCCCATACATTAACATGTTCGAGTATCACAAAAGTCATTGTAAAAGTAAACTTGTTCCATTGAGCCTGTAGTGTGCCCCCCCCCCCTTGTTTCGGATCCTGGATCCGCCACTGCGTACTCGCGCGATTAGTGCCCCTGGGGCGCTATTTTTCAATGTCCAACACAGATGGGGCACTATTCAAGAGAGGGCACTATTTTTGCAATGCTGGTACATGTACTTCATCTAGCATAAAAACAAAGAAGGCAAAGAAAAACAGGGTCTAAAGTCTACTGTAAACTAGCACGACTCAACAGAAAGGGCAACAAGAACTGCGATTTGGACCCTGAAACCACCAGTGCAGTGACATGGACAAGAACATTAGCAAAAGAACATCAAACTTGCACAAGCCCATGGGAGGGGGGGGGGCACTATTCAAGAGAGGGCTTTATTTTTTCACTGGCTCTTAGAGACTGGGGCACTATTCGAGATTGGGCACTATTCAAGAGAGGGCTCTAATCACGCGAGTACGGTATGCATACTGCGACAGTGGCGTATCCAGGATTGTGGTGAAGAGGGGGGGGGGGTGTGGCTCTACATTTGTGCATTCCTGCTGTCAAATGCCAGATACATGCATTTTTAGCAAGTGAAACTTCCCATCACAAGCCAAGATATAACTTCCGATTTTCAGCATTTTTATTGTCATTGTGGCGCTTCGGAGATGAGTTTTAGCAATGCGATAAATAGAACAAATGATGCCAACAGAATACCATGTAGCAATCATGAAATGTAAAAATGTATAAAATGTGATTCGTAAATGTTTTTCTTTCGATGGTCATCAGTGAACCTACATCGAATGGTGATTTACAGGTGAACAAACAATACTATTACTCAATCTGCAGACAGAACTGTTTCGTCCTTTGTGGACTCATCAGCGCAGCACAGAGGAAATGAGGCGGAACCTGATAGCAATGAAAAATGAATTTTCCAAAGCTAGATTTAAACCAAGCCCGAACGTACCTTGCCAGAGTGCTCAAACTGACAAGTCAGTGAGCTCTGCATAACGCAAACAGCAAAGGCACTACCCAACACATAATATTATGGGCCACAACCAGCTAAAACAGGGAGGTTTCACTCTACGGAATTACGTATGAAAATAACGTATGAACTGCACGGAAATTTCATACGTAAAAATCAGAGCTGGTGGGTTTCGCTCTACGTGATTTCTCCACGACTGCTCAACATGCGTTGTTGCTTTGGAGACGCGTTGGCTGCATGCGCCCACCGCATGCACCATGAACCGAAACCGCGTTTTCCATGATATTTTGCACGTGGTGTACGGTGTGTGTACCTTGTGTTTCGCGCGGCTTGAATGTTGCCATGGACAAATGCGGAAAATGTGAAAAATATTTCAAAAAGTCCTACGGAGGACCCAACGTAGGAAAGAGCTTTCCTACGGAAATCCGTAGAGAGATTTACGTATGAAAGTTGCCCTCGCTCCCCGGCGCGTACGACATCGGATTTTCATACGTAATTACGTAGAGCGAAACCTCCCTAACATGTCTTGAGTGAACATTTTCAAATTTTGTTTTCCTCCAGAAAACAGTTTTTTGGGACCTTATTTGACCTCTTGAAGGTGGTACAGGGCACCAAAGTACATGTAGTCTAAAAGTGCCCCAAACACCGCTTTCAAAATATTATATACTTTGAAATAAGAATGACAGTTTTCGCACAGTCTGACACACAGACAAACTTAGTGGCTTTTGAGGAGGAGCACAATACAAAGGAACTTGCAGCCCAGCTGGCATCAGGCCGGACTGGAAGTAGACTAGATCAGTGATTAGAAGTAGAGTAGTGTCGGAAACTTGACATGCCTGGAGCTACCACGAGAACTAACTCTCGTGTATCAGCCTTGACTGAATCTTAGACGAAAATGTTGGGCTCCCTGCCTAGTATCGAGTCGGATGTATTGACAGTGCTAAAAAGTCTGGCCGCACTTGTCTCCGAGGCCGCCGGTCGCGAGGATCGCCTGAACAATAGGTTCGATGAGCTATCCAGACAAGTATCTGAGCTGAAGGAGGAGGTAGCTTCTCTCAAAGAATCCGCCATTGCCGCGGCAAAAGCTCCGAGGCCATGCCAGCCAGGATGTACTACGAACTGTGACCGTACCCGTACTGACCCCCGCACAGCCTGCAGGCAGTGTAGCATGAGTTTGAGTACGAGTAGATCTACCAGCTACAGCAGCGCGCTGAACCAAATTCCAGCATCCGATGCGCCCCGTACTGAACTCGAAAATGATGCTCGCCCAGCGGCCAGTCCTGGCCACAATGTGGACAGCGTGAGCGAGAGTGACGCGGATGACGGTTTTCAGCAGCCACGGAGACGAAAGCGCAACAAGAGCACAAAGGCGTTGCAGCCCATCTCCGACGATGCATGGAAACTCATTGCAGATGAGCCCCACGTAGCGAAGAGAGCTGTCGTGTATGTTGATAACCTCAGCAGGGAGACAACTGAAGACCGGTTACGCGAATTTGTTGATTTGCGTAGCAGGGCCGTCAACTCCGACACACCAGTAGTGCTCCACACCTGTAGCATGCATGTCAATGCTAGCGGCTGCATGTCTGCAAGAGCGTTTGTGAATGCCAGCTCCCTGCATATCCTGCTGGCTGCCAACTTCTGGCCAAGGCCACTTTACTGCAGGAGGTAGACCTTCCACACATCCGACACTCACAAGACGGCACCAGGGTCAGCTCAGCCTGGCTGCCCACCAGCTGACAAGCCAGACACATCCCCATCCCTCCCCAATCCACTGCAAAGCGCAGGTACCAACAAAAGCAGCAGCGCAGATACTGCAAGCAACAACAAAAAGGGATCATCTATCAACTCGGAATGACCAGCACGACCAACTGTACCTAACGAACGCCTTTGCCTTTGGCATAGCCTCCAAATTTGGTGACTTTCTCCATGCTCACGCACTCCACTCTCCCGACATCGCTATCGTTACCGAAACCAAGCTCACGGTGGAAAAAATGTCACAAGCCGAGACTGCAATCCCTGGCTATGGCCCTCCAATGCGGTTGGATAGGACGGCTCAAGGAGGTGGTGTCGTTGTCTGGGTGCGCAACGACCTAGCGGCTATTGAGCTTGACATGGTTCCCTGTGACACCCAGGAGATCATATGGTTCACCGTCCGTCTGCGATGTGGCCGAACAGCTGTTTTTGCTGCCCTGTACATGCCTGGTAGTGCTCCGGAGGGTGACACCAGCCTCATGGAGTACCTTGATCGTACTCTCGATACTGCCCGATGTCATGGTACCCAGTTGATCCTTGCTGGAGACTTCAACGTCCACAACACCGACTGGCTTCATAGCACAAAGACAACACCTGCTGGCGAAGCAATGGAGGAGCTCAGTGCTGCTCATCACCTCACCCAACACGTGCTT